ATTATATTATATTATATTATATTATTATTTATTTTATTTTATTATATTTTATGCTCTAATAATTTATTACTGTTGTTTGATTTTACTATTTTATTGATTGTATTTTGCATATTGTATTCATTTTATTGTGTAATCCCTCCTCAATCCATAGGGAGAGGCGGGAAATATAAATAAAAATTATTATTATTATTATTATTATTATTATTATTATTATTATTATTATTATTATTAACATTGGGTACTGTGACAGGGACTTGAAAGTTTCCATGATAATGGTGCTGTTGGATGCAGGCAGTAATAAGTCATGTCAAAAAGTTTTTATCACCTGATGCCATAACTCAGTTTTGTAATTTTAAGTCCCACTGTCTGACTACACACCTGGGATAGGGATAGTCATTGTCATCCTTTCTTTTGTTTTGTTTTATTGTGTTACTTGCAATTTTAAGGGATATTTCTTTGGATTCCTCACCCCCTATTTCGCTTGAATCCTAGGAGCTCAACATTTGCACTAGATGTATCTATTTAATGGGTTTTTCTTCCTTCATGGTCTATCTTCTCCCTTCCAACTGGCCCACTTCTGGCTTGATCAACTCATGACATATACATTGAAAGGCCATGCCTTTCAGGACCAACTGCACTTACACTTGTCAATGTTCAAATTTATTTCAACAGTATCAGAAACAAAACCCCTATTGACAAGTGGCTGCTAAATTAAGACGGTTAAAATTACCACTGGAAGCACTTGGGCTACTAGTGCAATATGAGTTCTTGTGAATATTTCAGTGTCTAAATGTCAGGTGGTATTATTGATCTAATTCTCTAAACCTCATCTCAATACTGAAATGTCGCCAAAATAGCTGAAGTATATCTGACACTGACTTAGCTGGTCGGTTTACAACTGGGACCATGTTTGTCTATCCCCAAAAGAGTGCCAAAAGTGTTTCAGTTCTAGCTGTGAGGTATCTTTGGGACTTTGAAAGAAAATAACTTCTTAGAGCCAACACATGCAAAATGAGAAAATTAAAAACAAACAAGTTTCTTCCTTTTTTCTATTTAAAATAAATAATTCTACACGTGGAAAACAAACAGAAACATTAGAGATGGGCCTTGATGTATAATTTCAAGAATGATAAGATGCAATAGCCTGCTCTTGCAGGAAAGGATAGCAAAATATTCTTTTTTTCCAAAGACCAGTAAAGTAACAGCAGCAGGTGCTAATCCGTTGGAGGCAAGCCAGGACCATAGGCTACTGGATACCCTGGGTCAGATCGGTTCACCAATTGAGCTAAATTTAAAGTCTTGGGAATTAAAAATATATGTATATCAGAAATAAATTGTACGGCAGTTAACTCTTGAAAGTAAAAGCAAACTGTGAACTGTTTTGTGCCTGTATTATTTTAGGTGTGTAGCCAAGAGTTGGATTTAAAAATGGTTTAAAAACTCCTACAAATATCTCTAATTCCTACAGGCTAGTAGTGTAAGGCCCAAGTGAGCTGGGAGGGCCAATTCACCGTTACTGTGTTGATCCTACGCAAATACATGCCAGATGCCAGGCATTCACTGGTAGATATGCCAGCAGAGGCTAAACCAAGCAGCTGCGGTTCATTTCTATCTGGAATTTGCCAGCGTACTGCAGCATCTTTAGACATTATGATGTGTCACCAGTATGTGGCCACAACTATGTACTTACATGAGTTCACAGAATGGGTCAAGAAATGACAAGTCAGAGTAAAATCATTCTTGGCATGATGTAATGGTTTGACTATGATTCTGGAGACCAAGGTTTGAATCCTGGCTCAGCCATGTAAACACATTGGGTGATCTTGGGCAAGTCACACTCTCAGTTTCAGAGGATAGTAATGGCAAACCCCCTTGCCAAGAAAACCCCATGATAAGTTTGCCTTAGGGTCACCATAAGCCAGAAATGACTTGAAGGCACACGCCACCAATAAATCTAGGAGATAAGGGATAACCAGTAAGATTCCTGTCCCCTGAGAAACAGAAAATCAACAAAGAATTATTTGTGATAAAGGTGTATATATGTCAGTTGTTGGTATTAAAACAGAGTGGGCTCTTACCAATCTTCATTGCTACCAATGAGCTGCCCATAGCTGAAAAATGGCTTCCTCCTAAGGAATGATAGACTAATATTCCTGATTTTCCCCTGCCCAACACACACACAGCCTGGAGAGATCCAATGCTCTTCTCCATATAAATAAAACATATCTCAGCCACACAATACACTTTACAGCAAGGGAAGGCAGGCTACCCACTTACATGGCCTACTCTGTATTGTAATAGAAGCCATGGGTCCAGTAGCCCTGGGTTTCTGACTAGAGATGACAAGAGCAATCCATGAAATTGCATTGCTGACAGCTGGCAGCAGTTTGTTTGACCTTCAGGAGCCTTGTGAGAGGACTGAGCAAAGCCAAGAGCTGGAGGCCCACATGACCCATGGACTGCAATCTCCTGCTTTAAGACAACTACACTTGTCCCTCCATGTTTGCTGGGGTTAGGGGCACAGGGCTCCCGTGAATGTGGGGAAACCAAGAAATAATAAAAACACTATGTTTTTACCTGAGAGAATACCTC